GTGCCGTATTCCTATTTCGAGGCTTGATCCTGTTGGTGCTTTTGGGCATCAAACACCGACGGGCTTCCACTATTTATATCCGTCCTAGCCCCCTTCATTATTATCCCACAATATTAACTAAAAGCCTATCAGATTGCCTCTCATGTCAGTCAGATCCAGCTTTACTAGTATGTCTTATACTTCGCATAACTAGGAAATGGTACTAAGGCTCACAAACACACAGGACAATCAGGAAATCGCTCAGTGCATGGAAATGAATCACCTCTAAGCACTCGAAGCTTTCGCGGAGGTCACGAGCCCAGGTAAGTGGCTGACTATAGTCCAATGTGTTGTGGCCACCATTTAATGATTAACTAGACCGACCGATGTATTCATTGCTGTGATGGGGGTCACTGGCTCGGGGAAAAGTTCATTCATTTCGCTTTGCTCGGGCAAGTCCGTCCAAATTGGCCATACACTTGACGCATGTAGGTGAATCGCTATACGAACTGAGCTATTTCCTTGGTCCAAGTCTGACAGAGGAACAGGTACCTCTAAAGTCGACGTATACGCGTACAGGGAATCATCAGATCGAACTGTTTATTTGATCGACACGCCCGGCTTTGACGATACATCCAAGAATGACACCGAGATTCTAAGTGAGATTGCGATATGGCTTGGCGACTCATATAGAAGCAAAATTCTGCTCCACGGAATCATATACCTGCATCGTATCACTGACGTACGGATGCAAGGTTCCGCGAGACGGAATATCCAGACCTTCAGAAACTTGTGCGGTGAGGATGCTCTGAGGAAAGTAATCCTCGTCACAACCATGTGGGATAAGGTCCAAAGCAGCGAGGGCGACATGCGGGAAAAGCAGTTGAAAGACACAAAGGATTTCTGGGGTTGGATGCTGAGCAAAGGCAGCACCTGTCATCGACATGATAATACCAAGACTACGGCGAGAAGTATCGTACAGCGGCTGACAAAACACAAGAGCCCCATAATCACAGATATACAAAAACAACTAGTCGATCAGAATCTCCAACTTGATCAGACAGCTGCCGGAAAAGGGATACAGAGCGAGACTCTTAAAGAGAGAGCAAAATGGATGAAGGAACAAAAAAAGTTCGAAGAAGAGATCCGAGAGGCAATGCGCCAAAAGGACCGCGAGAAAGAAGAGATAATGCGCGAGGAGCGTGATATGAGTGCGGCAATGATCAGGAAGGCTAACCAGGACATGGAAGCCATGCGCTTCAACATGGAAGAACTTATCGCCCAGCGAGAGGAGCGCGAGGCACTCTTGGAAGAGCGCTTAGAAAAGCGGATGGAGAGGCAGATGCGAAAGAAGCAGGCTGCTCATGACAAAGAGATCAAACGGATTCAAAGAGAAAAAGAGGCCGAGATGAGAATATCAAGAGAACAGGAGAAGCAAGCCCAACGTGATCGAAAAAAGGTGGAAGAGAAAAACAAGGCGCAGCAGCAGAGAAAGGCGGAACAGGAGAGAAAGGCAAAGGTCGCTGAAGCCAATCGCCAGTCGCAAAACTCTTCATCGAAAGTTCAAGGCTGGTCTCCTTTTTCGGTAACCATGGGAGATTACAGTTGCGCTCTCAGTGGACCAAGATGTTACCAGGCGTACGTTGACAGTGCAAGGGAGCCAACTGCAGATACTTACTAATCGTCTCTACCAACAGCTCTAGGGGTGGCTGGCCGAAATTACAGGTTGGCTCGGAATGGATTGGTGCCGTCAGCTATGGGACTTCCGGCACATGGATTGCTCGTTACGGAGGAGGAACTTGGCGTAAGCAATTCCTCAAATCTGCGACAATTTACCTAGCTAAGAGATGTCTCAGAGTACTCACTTGAGCATTACCCAACTCTCGCAGGCAAACTTGCCCATCACGGAGACAGTAATCTTGAATTTTGTGTCCTCGGGCCTGGGCAAATGTACTATGCCCAGTGGGCGAATGGGTTCTGGTGCAGCGAAGCAACAGAACAGATCAACAACTATTTAACGGAGATTTACAATCGATCGGATGATTCTAAAGTGCTTGCCATGGCATTTGGATACAATGGCGCCTATGTGATTTCATTTGGATGGGCCACTAGATCGACTATCAGGGGAAAGTCCGGCCATCAAAGGGATTTGAAAGGATATTACTCGGATCTAGAACAATTCGCCGACGCAAATACTTCTTTGGATATAGTGGTGAGTCTCTCGAATTGCCTTGATCAGATCTCGGAAATCTCACTTTCCAACAGGCCATCGCACTTGACCCGGATAGCACAACAGATTATATATTAGTCTACAAATCCGGAAACTATCGGATACGCTGGGTTTGCTCGGATCCCCGGAGGTCACAAATCATTAGGAGTTGGTGGGACCAAGAATGCAAGCCTAAAGAGGCTGTAGCGCCTACACAGTCAACACATAAGGCTTCAGTGTCGAGATCTTTCAAAGAAATGCTCTCGAAGATCGAGAAGTACCTAATTGATGGGAATAATGGATGAGAAACCGGGAATATATATCTATCATCAGCTTTTGTGGCAGTTCGAATATTCGGATTTCTTTCGTGCTATTACCTTCTCTGAGGAGACACGAATCAAAGCAACTCCTGATGAATTATAAAAGGGAAAGAGACGGGTAGAATGTAATCCGGTCCTTAGCACCAGATTTCAAAGCAGATGTAACCACAGAGCCACCCTGGGCTCCGGTGGCACCGACAACAGTAAGGATTTTGGACATTTTGGATCAAAGTAGAAAAGATGAGTGTATTGAGATCTAAGAGATAAACAGTAGAAGCAATGACATGGAAGATCGAATACGGTCCCTCTATATATATTTTGACTACTACACATAAGATCGCCTATACATGGACGAAGTATACCACGGTACAGTGATCTGCATACACGCTAACCCCATGGGGTCGGGACTCAGGGCTACAATAACCCCGAAACGCCGGATTCCGCATCTTCACCAACCTTTCTCTCTTATTTTTTTCTCAGCAACTCGTCATGTACAACATACCCTCATCTGTCTGCGTTTTCTCCGCATAAACAAGCATTATTAATGAACTGGCCCACCGCACCCGGAGCTCGGGTTGTCGATCGATATTGCTTCAGTGTTCCACTTCACATTGTGCTTCAATTTGCCGTCTCATCACTCAATAAATAGTCCCCTTATGGGGCTTTTAGATAGTTGCCTTCTGAATGTTATGGCGGTCCAAAGATAGACAGGTGATACCATTGGCAGACTAGCAATGTACGTGGCGGTGAAGTGTGTAAAACAATCGTCGTTTGTCGCCACTTTCCACATGGTCTCGGGAGTCAAACGTTGGACTCCTGCTAAAATCGAACCATCGTGTATGAGTCTTCTATGGGCGACGGATCAAACCACTACAACGTTTATCTAGTATACGTCCATCAATTAACCTTGAGCCTTTCAAAGAGTAGATTACCTCTCCCTTTAATGGTAGCACCATATTAGAGATAGAGACGAGAGTACGTGAAGAATGCGTGTAGTAATTATTGGGAACATACGGAGAGGTCACGCGACCTGGAATAATCTACTCGGCATAAAATATTAGTCTTGGCATCCATAAAGCTTAATTATTAATACTGTATTATTCCTCCGTCTTACCGCCCTACCTTCTCAGCACGGTAGTCTTTTTGAATTCTACCAGTCCTACCGATTTGAACTTCTTTCAGATAAAAGAGCAGTAAATTGCTTCAAAAACATACCTCGTATTCATTACGCTCGCAAAAAGCCTTGTGATCGAATTCATTATAGAGTTCATCTGGCTCAGGAATAGGCTCAGCCCTCAGAAGCTCTTCAAGCTATGATTGCGGCATTTCCGATTGATAATGCGCCATGGTAGCTAGTAAAAAGATTGGAACGATAGTTTGTAATGTGTATATACACAGATACTATATATATTAGATGTAGAGTTGTTTATCAGTAATAAAGTATAAGAATGTACCCCTCGTAAACATACATGCTCCATACCAAAACGGGATCAAAGATACCGTACGATTTCCAAAGCAAACAGTGTTTACATAAGCCCAAACTAGGGGCACTAGCGTAAGCATTGACCATGGTACCAGGTACCTACGTCCCCTGACCTTATCTGCCGAACTATGATCAACCGTCAGCCAGCCCTCCGGGAAACTACCCCGGACAAACCCCCTTGTGAAGGCAGAATTTGGCTCTCTCTGCCCAAATGACACGCGTAACCACTATTATAGGCGACGGATCGGACCACTATATCAGCTCGCCACACGCTTTTCCGCAGCTGTAATAAATATAGCAACTTACATTTGATCTAATTACTCACTTTTCTACGGTCGCATTGAGTTCAAATTATGAAGATATGATTGATTGATTGAATTTTCAAAATACAAATTTCAAACTCAATAATGGAGCAAGCATAGAGCAAGCAGGGGAAAACTTTGAAAAGCGGTCTTCTTAGACCGCCTTCCCATCAAATATACTGCCGATTCCGGTAAATCGGTAGGACGGGCAGAATTCTAAAGCCGGTGAATTCGGGTATAGGGCGGTAAGACGGAGGAATAACTATGGAACCTTGGAACCTTCCAAGGTTGGAATATAGAATTGATAACTAAGCGGTTTTATGAACGCCAAGACTAATATCTTAATGAATTGATGGACGCATACTCCGGACTGGTAAATGTGAATAGAGAAGAAGAGGTTGTAATATTACATAGCCTGCCCAAGACCATAATTATACAGGCGGTGATTAAAGCGGTGAGCCAAAAATTGGTTTTGTTGTTGTGGTTCGATCCACCGATCCATCGCCCTGGTGGATATGCCAAGACACGCTAAACAACAATGTCAGCTAGCCTTGCCTCTCAGCTGAAATGAGTATGTATGTATAACTATGTCTACTTACCCCTGGGCGCCTTTGATTTCTATAAATTGAGTCTCGGCTTCCATTACACTGGTGGTTGTCCTCTCAACTACATTGTGCTGAAAAATTGTATAGCACCATTCAGCAACCATGAACTTGGCCGTCCTGATGTCCCTTGCGGGATTGGGCGCTAGCCTTACAGTTGGGCTAGAAGCAAAAAGCCCATTTATTGCCGGTCGGCTCTCACAAACGAAGCAATTTGAGCTGAATCTGACCTGGGAATCATTTGCGCCCGATGGGGTTGCGCGGGAGCAATTTTTGATCAATGGCCAGTTCCCCGGCCCTCCACTGATCATGGATGAAGGAGACGACGTCGAGGTGACCGTGAATAACTTCAGTCCCTTCAATACCACAATTCACTATCACGGCATCGAGTGAGTTTTTGGAAACTAAAAAGATACCCGCATGTCCACTAACATGTTAATAGACAGGAAGGAACGCCGTGGTCAGATGGTGTGCCTGGAGTTTCACAGAGGCAGATTTTGCCTGGTCAACGGTTTATTTCCAAATTCACTGTCCAGCAGTATGGTGCATATTGGTTAGTCAATAATCTTCAATAAGAAATCCAAGCCCTCTAACGAATTGAAGGTACCACTCACATACTTCTGGGCAAATCATGGATGGCCTGTATGGACCAATTTACATCAGGTTTGTTTGCATGATATCGAGCGCGTCAATGCCAATGACTAATGTCTAAATTTATAGACCTCGGACCATTCCTGCGAACTTGGCCAGTGCGATAACAAATGATACATTTGAACAGGCTCAAATACATAACGCCATCCGGGCCCCGTCTCTAGTTATGCTCTCTGATTGGTTCCATATGACCTCAGAAGAACTCCAAGAGGTTGCAATGTCTGCAAATATTGATCCCTTGTGAGTGATTCAATGAGAGAAGCTACAAGCAATGAAACTGACATGGCGATCAGGTGTACGGATTCTATTCTGATCAACGGGAAAGGGCGGGTCAATTGCCGCAGTCCCAAGGAATTGACTGACATGGTGCCCGATTCGGTGAAATCTGTGCTACAGGGCATGGAGTATACGGTGAAAGGGTATGTTCTGAATTAGAATTCAATACTTGGAGACGCCAGCGCTAAATGGGAAATAAAGTTGCCTTCCACTCACAAACACCTATGCCCAAACGACATCTGGACATAACTTGAGTGCAGTTCCAGCATCCATGTTTTACGAGTGCCACGCCACTGAAGCGGCAGAAGAGGTCATCGAAGTTGACCCGTTCAACGGCTGGGCAAGTCTCAATTTTATCGGCTCAGCGTCTGTCTCAACTCCAATTGGTGTGTACTTTGCCAGTCTTTATAAGCTCCCAGGCTAACTAGCAAAGTGTCTATCAATAATCATTCCCTTTGGGTTTATGAGGTTGATGGTTTATACATCAAGCCTGTTAAAGTTGATGTATGAACTTTTACCTTTTTGGAATTACCTTTCACGGAATACTTCTGACTCAAACTTCTCTAGGCGTTAACAATCAACAATGGTGGTCGGTATTCCTGCTTGGTACAACTGAACAAAGCGCCAGGAAAGTACCCGATGACAGTGGCAAATGCAGGGTTCAACCAAAAGATCGCGGGCTTTGGTACTCTGTCCTATACGCATACGCATGAACGTTCGGTTGTATCAACGCCTTCAATCAACTACGGTGGAATCGCCACAAGCACGGATGTTGTTACACTAGATGAGACCGTGATCGAAATGTTTACTCCTAGCCAGCCTAGTGAGCATTCGGATAAAACCTACATCCTGACTGCTGGCCGCATTGAGAAGGCTTGGGAATGGTCCCTTAACGGGAATCACTCCTACGGCCTTACTTTGGAGGCCGAAAAGCCCGTTCTATGGGACCCTCAATCTGCGGCCAAAAGCCCTTTGGCCATCGCCACAAAGAACAATACTTGGGTGGATATAATCTTCATTTTATCTGGCAACACATCTACACTTCAGCCTGGTCACCCACTTCACAAGCACTCCAACCGAGCTTATATTCTAGTGAGTGCTTCCAAATATTGTACTGGCTCTTGCTCCAATTCGCTGACATTTGACTTCAAGGGTTCCGGCACCGGCGACTTCAATTACACTTCAGTCGCCGACGCTGTCAAGGCTATTCCAGACAGTTTCAACCTGATCAATCCCCCCATGAGAGGTTCGCAGCTCTAATTCCACAGGGCCTCTGTACCTGACTGACATCATTAGACACTTTTACTACGCTGCCTGCTTATCAAGGTAAAAGCTGGATGGCAATTCGCTATCATGGTATGTGATTTCCCCGACTGGATAGAAGATCATTGGCTAACTAGCACGGTTGAATTAGTTCAAAACCCAGGGGTATGGAAATCTGAATTCTGTCGATACCCGGTCACGTCGCTAACAATTTTAGGCATTCTTGCTTCACTGTCACCTCGACCCACATCTGACAGGGGGTATGGGGTAAGTTTGCAATATGTGTACAGCTATGGCTATATTTCGATGCAATGTGCTAATTTCTTTCCTTAGGCTCGCGATTCTAGACGGTATAGATGCATGGCCGACCATTCCGTCCCAATATGGCCCAAATGGGAAGTGGGGAAGTATTGACGCTTGACAACTTTTATCCGATTTGTACAAGAGAAATTTTCTCTATTTATCTGTTTTAATTGGTCTTTTTATTTTCCTTATTCGAATATATGGTGTGCTGTGTTTCAATGTACTTTTTCCAGATGTTCGAAGTGGAAGAGGTGAGTACATACATTCTACTGGAGCATACCTCCCAGCCAGATCCTGCTTAATTGGCTTTTACTTATTCTGAAACTATTGTACTAAACCATACACTGCATTATAATAGCATTTTATTCAAGGAAACCCTATAAGTGGTCCAGTATGTGTTGGAAAATAATTCCAGTACAATAGTTTATTGTGCACCAATCAGCTTTCCTAATGGTATAACCGGGCCATTTCCTTCAAACTCCTCATATTATCCGCCCCAAGGCCTTAACTTCATCATCCAAATGCGTCCATAAAATATGCGCAAAACTACCCATCAACATCTTCATATGACCCAGTCGTAGCTCTGTCTCGCCCGTGCGACATGTATTCACATAGTCCTCGAATTTCTCCAATCCCAGGTGAATCATGCGGTGCTGCCCGACCAAGCTCAATTCCTCGCGAAACTCAGGCATTCTCGAGGCTAGCTCAGGGAAAAAGTGCCGCTCCTCGATAGTGTGATGCAGCGTGAGTTGACGACAGAAGGATAAAGCGAGGTTGAGGAACGCAGGAATCGATTGGCCATTGGGGCGTTTGTTCTTGACACAAGCATTGTATGTATCATTCCAAATAGTGCGGAAGTTATTATGCTAGAAAACATTTAGTAGGCTGTGGGAACCGTTGTGGTAGACGGATAGATGATAAGAACCTACAAATAGATCCATATGGTCTGCCAATCGATTTTAGGCCTTGAATTCCGATGGAGTTAACTTGGAGGGCTGGATTCCAGCAGTTGCTTCTTTAACTTTCGCCATGTTATATTCGATCGAAGAGCCCGTGAACAAATGACGCTGTTGACAGTGTATTAAAGATGGCCCAACCCCTTGAAGCGCACTCTCTTTAAATAGTATGTAGAGTCTGTGCCATTTATTATCGAAAGGTGTGGATCGATAGAAATAATTGTCGAATCATGCCGTAATTATTATGAATCTGCATCACCAAGGCACCAATTGACCTTACTATATTCGTTCGGAGCTCGAAGCTCGGGTAGGTGAGGTCTGGAAGGTCGCTGACTAAGGTCTCCAGAGTCCACCCGTCCCATTCTAACATTCGATCAGCTGTAAGCCCGGGGTAGGGGGATCGTTCTTCATGGACTCGGAGGGTCCACTGATCCGCAGAATGACCTTTGTTCACTTCTGCAACACGTGTCTCTGCTCCCTGCCGACAGACGATGGCGAGATTACTATGATACACTTCGACAAATACATGAGAACAGCCTGGATCATCATCAAGCTCTAGTGCTGCTGGATTCACTACTGTTCCACAGTCCACTAAGGTCTCTGGCTGCAGACCTGGATGCAGAACGAGCTAGTCCGTACGAGCTCTAGTGAGGAGACGAAAGTGCGGACTTTGAAAGACGGGTACTGGTTCTTGAACCGTGGGAGCCCTTGCACTGTGGTGGCAAACCGCACTTCCTGTCCAAAGAGCTGGCAGAAGCTGTCTCTAGTTCTTAAGATCATCCCTGTTTTCCTGTCTTGCCTCCTTCCATCATGGACATATCTTCCATGGTCCAGCTAGCTCTCTTTTCTCTTTTCTCTTTTCTCAACCAACCCTCAATATCTAAGCCGGAAATCAATATATACAGAAGAAATGCATCTCATGCTTGGGAGCTATGTATTAATACACAAGAATCCAAAATAGCCTTGTCTTGGACAATTTTTGCGAAATGAGTAGTGGAGATATTATTTTATTCAGCCACCTGGCCACAGAAAGAGACTCGCCGGTCTCGGTACCAGCCGCAAGAACAACCCGCCATCCATAAAATACAATGCTCTGAAAACACAGGCTGTGAGAGACGGTATTAAAAGCGAGTAAAGAAAACAGGAACCTCTATGCTATGTCGTTGAAATATGATGACCAAAACCGAATACTCGAGAGAGACCCAATGTGAGGATGTCGTTATGGAGAAAGAGAAGGGAGGATGAGTTGAGGGCGATCAAATGTAGATAAGTCGATCGTGTTGGTGAATGGAGAGGAGGGATGGTTTAAAGCATAGCCTTGTACTCGGATGGAGGAGGGGGAGGAAGCTGTTTCGGACTGGTTAGCAAGCACATCTTGAATCTAGGTCCGAACGTATCAGTTCGAGGACAGGGAGTTTATCATACCTCGAGCTTTGTATTATCAGCCATCATACGCTGGAAGCCAATACCGACACCCTCGATCACAGCAAGGAAGACGGCACACATAATAGCGGAGTTTCGGGCAGCCTTATAACCACCACGGATAGCGAGGGAGCCACCGGTGAAGAAACCAGCGATGATGGCGTTGTAAGGATCTTCCTTCTTGCGAATTCCCTTGATTGAACAATCGTATATACTGAAAAGTCCTCCCCAACAGCCGAAGTTACCACCGAGGACGGGCGCGCGCGCCTTGATAGCTGTGAGAGCACCTATCCGGCGTTCACCGTAGGGGCTGTTTCGGAAACCCTTAACACCGTGCCATACGGCACCACCGATAGCACCCATACAGAAAGCACCGCCGAAGTCGCTCAGGGCAACCCAGGGACAGGGATCGCGCGAGTGATCCATAATGTGATGTGTAAACAAAGCGAGTTGAGAGTCGGGGGTACAAAGGCGGATCGGCTGTATAGATAGTAATTATGAAAGGCGCGATGGTAAAGGTCGAAAGTTGGTAACAAGCCCAGTGGAAGAAAGAGACTTGTGAAGGGCGTGAAGGTAGTAAAGGTCGACAAGCCCAATAGTGAGAGATGCGATAACAAGATAAGGGCGGGTCGAGGACTTTTCTTTCCCATGTCGGGCACGTGACCATCATATTCTACCCGGTCGCCACCGAACACTACGACGTCGGCTGTGTTTACTCTTACTTTCGGATTATCATTCGCTCGCATCAAGCATCCCCGGGTTCTCTGCCCGGGAACGAGAATATACCGGCTATTCATCCCTGCATGATGTCTCGAGACCATCAGAAAATTTCTTCATTTCTATTTGAATACTCTATGGCTCTTTTGCCATTGTTCTAGGGCCAAGGGCCAATCGGAGATCATACATCCTACCACCTTAGAACCGGGTATTCTATGATCGAAAGAATGAGCTTCTATAGCCTCACCTCTTCATCTACTAACAAAAGAATGTCTACCTTGACCTATTCCACTCACAACCTTTCCCCGCTTCGCGAGTATGAGCCGTCATTAGCAGAATAGTCGGTCGATCACATAGGATTTCGTTCAAAATAGATATATGCATCAGCCCATCCCTTGCAACTTAAAGTGATGTTTGTCGATATCTGATTCATAGGCGGTTGTCTGATATTGAGTTCTAGACTTCTTACGTCTAATTAAGACGTTAAAGTATAACTAACGAATATTAGAGTCAGTAATTGATAGATATATAGAGGAGATTGATCGTAGTTGTGAAACATCAGATTATATTCATATTTCAGTCTTTTCCAATTTGAAATAAATAACAAATTGAGGGAGCAAACAACGGGAAGGCCAGATGCATGGTCAAAAGTTGGTATACCTCGCCCTTCTCGCCGTCATAGGAGGTGTATAAGCATATCATTGTAGCTACAAATTCAGCTTATGCATTCAAAATCATAGGATTGAAAGAATTATCGAGTGTTTGGTAGGATTGAAGTGTGACACCCGTATGAAAAGACGATTGATAAGGCAAATGAAAATGCCGAGCAAGGCTCGGCCTTTTCGGACGAGGATCGAAAAATTTCGCGAATAACCCGAGCAAATTTACTTATAAATAAAGCTAGCTGCAAAGAGATCTGCGGTAGACATCTAGGTCCTGTTCCTTGTTACTTGTGCTCAATCAACTCTCGGAATGTCTACTTCACAACTATCAAATGACCGGGCTACGCCCAGTAGCTCCGAAGCGCCTGATCGCGTCGAACTTGAAAAGCCAACCCCAAAATTCCCAGAGGGCGGCCTCCGAGCTTGGATGGTGGTTTTAGGTGCATTTTGTGTGTCTTTCTCGACTTTCGGATACATGAACGCTTTCGGGTAAGCTCTATACTCCGCAACTCTATGGTATGATAACGAAGTCTAACATATGAACGACACAGAGTCTATCAGGATTACTACACAGAGCACTTTCTCTCCAACGAGACTTCATCCACTATTTCTTGGATTGGATCTGTTCAGGTCTGCTTTCTCTTCGCTGGTAGCCTTATCGGTGGGCCATTGTTCGACCGGTACGGCGCTGTGGTAAGGACTTGTCTTCCTATCAGCAACAGCATCATTGACTAACTATACTCTCCATATTAGGTCATTCATATACCTGCGGTCGCTATCGTATTTTCAGTGATGATGACATCTCTGTGCAAGAAGTATTATCAATTCATGCTTGCTCAAGGCGTCTTGGGTGGGATTGCTTCCGGCATGCTATTTGCCCCCGTCATGACATGTGTGAGCCACTATTTCCATACTCGACGTGCTGCAGCCCTTGGTGTGACAGTCTCTGGGTCTTCCATCGGGGGAGTTATATTTCCTATTGCCTTGAGCAAGATGCTGAGAAACGAATCCTTGGGGTTCGGATGGTCCGTCCGAATTGTGGGGTTCATCATCTTGTTCATGGTATTGATAGCGATGATAACTGTAAGAGAGCGACTTCCTCCTCGTAGCGGCAAAGTTCTCTTGCCGAGAGCTTTTGCTCGCGCTCCTTACACCCTCGTCACACTCGGTATCTTCTTCATGATGTGGGGACTTTTCACTCCATTCTTCTATCTTCCGCAATATGCCCAGTCTTATGGCATGGAATCACAGCTTGCGTCCTACCTTTTATCCATCCTCAATGCTGCCTCCGTTTTCGGCAGAATATTACCGGGCATGGTTGCGGATAAGATTGGTCGCTACAATATCTTGATCATCACCGGTGTCTGCTCGGGCATTCTACTTCTGTGCTGGATCGCGACAACTTCAAATGCGTCAATCATTGTCTTTGCGGGGCTCTATGGTTTCTTTTCGGGCGGGATTGTGTCGCTGATGTCTCCTTGTATTGCTCAAGTCACGCCGAGTCCGGACCAGATTGGTACTCATCTCGGCATGTCAATGGCCATTATTGCCCTTGCTGGTCTGACCGGGACCCCGATATGCGGTGCATTGCTAGAAAGATACGGAGGATACACACAGGCCGCAGTTTTTAGTGGTGTCGTGATGTTTTTCGGATCTGTGCTTGTCGCCGCGGCGAGGTTTTGTCTGCAGGCAAAGCCCTTGGCAATTGTGTGATCCCTCTTCAGCCTCCTCGGGCAGCTTTTGCTTCAATCTGTATACTACATTAGATCTGCTTTTTTTTACTACCACTGGGTGCGAAAACCTTGAAACTATGATATTATACTCTTCAGAACGACATATTTGAGCAAGGCTAATTATACATGGAAGAACCCAAAATCAGTACTATCATTCATGAAACCTAAATCCTCCGGAAACTGTTCAGTCTTGTCAGTGGATGCATCACAATTGAGATTTCAGAAACCAAGTAAATACCATTGAGTTGAGAAGTTCATCGTCAGGAATCATAGAGCTCGGATCTTCTGGTAAGTTAAGCCCACGTAGACCTCCATTATCACTGCATACAATCAATACGGGTTTGGATGGGGCTTGTCAACGGAGTACTTACGCTGAACCTAGCAGAGAGTGATCTGGCTGAATGACAGCCCGCCGCGTCTGCAGTATTGTGCAGATTCGGATCACTCTATCTGCTGCCTCTTTGTCGGATGTTGCGGCTGACTCTGGCCACAGCTTGGACTTGACTAATCCAATTATCATACTGAGTAAGTAATATTCGCTCAATCCGTGAAATGTCAAATTGAGCCTCTTTTCCAAAATCTGTAGTACATGCTCAACAGTTGCCACGAGAAATGTGGAAACTTCGGGAAATATTGTCATGGTAGCCGACCCATTTAAAGCTTTCGATTGATTAGTTGCAATCGCAGGATTTAGATTAGACAAGCGCAATTGTGCTTTTTCTTACCGTGAGGCCCAAAGTTTATGTATATTTCATGGCAGATATTCAGTGCAGCAAGTAGTAATCCAATCCTACAAGCTTGTTCAGGTACTTTCTCATCATGTATAAGCTTTTGGTAATGATCAAGAATCTTCGAGGATGCCTCCAATCTCGCACGTCGGCAGACTGCAGATTTGAATGAGGGACGAGTTTGGATCGCGAACTGGATGTGCAGCAAGAGTGTATACTGGTACAGGTGAATGCTCAACAATCTCTTCACGTACATCGTGGTCTGCTGTTGTCGCGGATTGTTCTGGGGATTTTTCCATTCTGGAATATCGTGGAGTGCTTCTTCTATCTCCTCTCCAAGGTGCAAGACCCGGTCAAAATCATCTTGCTCGCGACATCCATTGACTAAGGCACATATTTTCAATCTGACAGGCAAAGAGCGGTACATATGTGCCTGGAAAGACGTGTCCGTGAATGTGGCGAGGGGCATACCTTCCAGAGGATCTTGGCCCGACTTTTGTAGCTCGTCATCGTTGATATTCAGCGGTGATTTTATGTTGAAATCTTCCATTCCGACGCTTAGGGGCATCCCCCGTTCAACAGAGGCCTGGATATCGAGCTCAACGATCGTCATCCACAAGCGCCGACGCATCTCTCGATAGTATGGTGATATTCTCGCTGTCGAGGGAGATTCACGATGATATCCTGCTGCCATAGCCCACCGGACCAGTGCCCCGGCGTATGTCCAGAATGAACCCTCTTGGATATAGTTTGCACGCTTCGCAATGAGCAAGAGACAATGGGTCGCCAAGGTGTCCCAGGATTGAGGAGGCTGATTAGTCGAGTTGAGCCATGATTCTGCAGCCTCAATCCAATCAAGTGCATGGTCATGAACGGTTTGCTGATTCATAACGTCAATGCATATTTCGGGATGAAAGCTTGAAGCGGCTGCTGCCACTAAGAGGAATTGCACCAAAAAAGAAGCGGGCGTGCAAAGTGGACTGGCCCAGTGACGATTGTAATCAGCTATGAAAGTCGATATATTGAGTACTCGGTGTATGATCTCGAATCTGTCGATATATGTCTGTACCAATGTGTCCGCAATCGGTTTTATGGGAATCAATTGTCTCAGAGTGTCTCTGTCTCCAGGCACAGTAGTATCATTGGACAACGGACGAAGCCGATAATCATCATTGGCCAAAGGGTAAATTTCGTCACGAAGGGTGTTGATCGCCGGGTTTCTGGTCTTGATTTGAACGATGTAGGGTCGGAGCTCGGTAAACTGTCACTATTGAGGAGATGCTTCATATCAGTTAGATAGGGTGTGGCGTACCTGTTGGTAAAAGTTCAGAGGATAGCTATACCCATAGAACTTGGTAATAGCTTCTTGTCCTTTTAAGTGGGTCATTTTCTCATGCCAATCGGAAGAGGGCCTGGGTCTTTCCGGGGTCTCTGCAGGTTTACGCAAGGCCGTTGGCATGGGGCCAGTGCTCACCGGACGGTCATCGCTCAACATTTCATTTACTGACGAAGATGTTGCTGGATTGCCACGGTAGGTGCAGCTGGCGGCATTTCCTGTTTTCGAGCAGCGACTGCAGGATGGAAGCTCCCTTCCACATTTCAGCTTCCGCTGATAGCACTGGATACAGGCCAATGGGGGGCGTCGCTTTTTGGCCCCTGGCTTGACCACACGCTGTGAGCTGATTGGCCCACGGCTCATCGTTTGGCTTGAGATCGATTCTGACATTATTAGTGCTTGCCATGAGAAATCGCCGAGCGGGAGCTTTTATGCCGGGTTATGGTGACGTCGGTGATTTCGGCGCGGCAATTTCGGGCTCGGCAATTTCGACCGTTTCCACCATTGGCTCGCAGTACATTTTGTCCAATCAGAGGCCTACAACAATGTAAATAGTGCGTATTATGGATCATTGCGGTTTATTTTGGCATATTTTGACAGATTTATTGCTGCTCATTCGATGCGTAGGCCTCGGGTATACCAGAGTCTAAGTAATAAGGGAGCTGGAAACTCGTATCCGGCCGAAACATATATAAGACTTGTGTCTATTCGAGAAAAGGCTCAATCATCTATTTTATCTTCGAGAACTGGACTCTTCTGAAGCTCACCCTTTGACAGCTTCCGTTCTCTCCTTATTCAGAACCAACAACTCGCCCAGAGCTCGGGGAATCCTGACAGGGTTAATACGGTATCTTCATACATTCTGTCGCGATGTCAACCTCACGACAAAGGAGCTTTACATTACCATTAAAGCTCTGAATCGATCCGGTCAGATGAGTAACCATGAACGCAATGAGAAGCTCTTAATCTCGGACTGCTTGGGCGTGGAAGCGTATATCATAGACATCATATATTTACACACCTATTCATAATCTGATAATTTATCCAAGCTAATTGATGCTCAGACACAAAACATGTTGGAGAAAGACAACAGCACCGACTCTTGCATTCTTGGCCCTTTCTATACGGCCAATCCCCCACGCTAGGAGAATGGGGACAGTATTATCCAGAAGTACTTAGGGGGCGAAGTGACATTCTTCCACAGTCGAATTCTTGATGCCGATACCAGTTTGCCCGTGGCAGGTACGTCTGGCTCAACTCGGATTTACCTTTGACATCTATAATTTGCTAAGTAAAACGCCAGGGGCTTCTCTGAACGTGTGGCAGTGCGCGGTCAACGGGTTGTATGACCAACAAGACCCAGATCAGCCGTCGGGGAACATGCGCGGCCTTTTCACATCCGATGCAAACGGCCAATATGCATTTTACTGCATCAAGCCGGTTCCCTATCCCGTTCCCTACGACGGACCCGCAGGCGATATTCTCAAACTGATGGATCGCCACCCTTACCGAGCCCACATTCACTTCCTGGTCACGAGCGACTCTTACAATCGCTTGATCACACAAGTATTTCCCGATGATGACACTTATCTCGACTCCGACTCGGTATATGCAGTCAAGTCAGATTTGCTTCTTCAATTCAAGCCTTACACCTCAGACTCACCGCGAAGTAAGGGGGGCAAAGAAGCGAATGTGCAATGGGAAGTCAATTGGGATTTTAGAATCAAGCAGAAAAAGGTGTGATAGGAATGAATTATCGTATTCCTACGAATCAGTCGTCCGACCTTAGCGGTTGGGTTGTACCTTATTTGATATAGCAAAGAAAGCACGTTCGCCGAAATCTTGTTCAAATCTCTTATATATCCAGTAACAAAAAATACATTAAAGTATCGGCCCAACAAAAAGTTGCTTTTCATCTGGAGTACAGGAGTCTGCAACCGCCAGTACAGCGCGCTATTTCGAGTTTTGCCTGCAGGATAAGCATTCATACATCTGAATAAATTCATATAACTCAATTCAATTCAAAGACCATGTATAAAACGGTCCTCTGTACAGTTAATGCTTTTTGCCGCCTTTATATACATCTGAGAATAGACTTAAGGCCGCATAATTGGCCGAATATATGTTTAGAGTATTATGAGGATGTGAACCCTATGAATTAAGTATCTTTTATATGTCATATAAAGGATACTTAGGCACCATATATTTTCTCCCTCGAAGTAGTACGGAGTACAAACACATACCATGAGTCTAGCTTAATTATTGCTAATGAATCACTTTTCCTTTCTTATGCTTAAAATTAATCACCGAAGTTTGATCCCTGAGTGCCTGACCATCCCAAGCGTTGTAAAAATTCAATATGCTGCCTAAGTATTCTTTGTATTGGCAAGTCATACAAAAGATACCTAATTGATCTATCTGCGGTTTGGTGGAGCACCTGACCGGGACCAGCCTTTGATGACGTGACGTACGAAAGACGGAAAGAGGGGCCTGTCATTTTTTTCTATCGTCTTTCTTTCTCAACGGTGTTAGCACAACAAGCTCCTCCCGAATTGCATGTCCGAATGAAACCGGAATCCCCCAAAACAACCCTTGAATTATTATGTGAAAATGTTAAACAAAGTTAATATTCCACGTCTAAGACGCGAAAGGCGTGCGAGTGAGGGACGAGGACGAACTGCGCGGGCCTGCGACACATGCCGCCAGCGCAAAATGAAATGTGATGGCAAAAAGCCTGTATGCGCCCAGTGCCATGCTCAGGGTCTAACGACATGCGATTATTCTGAGGCGAAGCTCGTTAGAGAGCGGAAGCAGCTAGAGTTGGCTCAACTGAAAATTGGAGCCTACGAGGACTTGCTTCGGAATATCGCTCAAAGAGCGGACACCTCTACTGCGAAACAAATTACAAGCACCCTTGAAGTACATTTTTGTCGCGTGTCATTGCGTGGTCACCCACTAATCAGATCCGGTGAATGAGTATAGGCCTATACAACAGGGAGCGAACACCGGAATTGTTCTTCAAATGTTTCATTTTCGTCTATCGATTCTCTGGACAATATTGATACGGTGGGTGAAGACCTCAATCGCAGCAAAGAAAGTAGGGCTACAGGATACATGGGGAAGGATTCTGAAATTGCGTGGATGCAACGGCTGGAGTCGAATACTACAAGCCAGAGCGACAACCCGGATTCTTTAGAAAAACCATTGAAAGAATGGCCTCCTGTTAATGACTCCATCGTCCCAGTGAACTATCGTCTTGACCATCATCATTTGTCCGACCCCGAAGTGAGGAATGCTTTCGTCCTACCACCGAAAGCGCTGGCAGATCATCTACTCCAAATTTATCGCACTAACGTCGACATTTCTTTCCCAATCATCCGATGGGGATTATTCATGGATCAGTATCGCCGCCTATTCTCAGGGAGCTTGATAAATCCCGGGAGGAGGTGGTTGGCTGTCTTTAACATGGTCCTTGCTATTGGCAGGAACTTTTGCCGAGTCTCCAAACAAGATCTGCAGGTTTACGCCGATGACGACGTGTTCTTTGCTCGAGCGAAATCCCTGAACATTTCGGAGACTGTTCTCTTTGGCTACGAAGATCTGCAACAAGTGCAGGTCGAGACGCTTATGACGTTATACTTCCTAACTGTTTCTCGGGTTAACAGGTATGACCCCCAAAATTGTGTTAGAAGGGAATTCTTTCCCGTGTGTTGTATGTTATGCATTTCTAACGAACTCATATATCTTGGAAAATGGTAGGAATCGCCGCGCGCTCAGGCATCGCATTAGGACTCAATATTCGAAGAACGAACAACATATTTGATGCGGAAGCAACCGAAGCGCGGAAGCGGCTATGGTGGTCGATCTTTTACCTGGAACATCTGCTCTCTGCCATGACTGGCCGAGCCTCTTGCCTTGGAGATGGTTCCTGCTCTGCACCTCCACCGCTACCCTTTGAACACTCGGAATATGAGTTTTCTGATGTCGGTCAGTGGGGTGATGGCCGATTAGCTCATGCCGGCGATATGCAATGGACGATCTTCCAGAGCGACGAACAGATCGAAGCCCAACATACGTCCTTGAAGTCTATGCAGCCCAGCGCGTCTCTCTACTTCTTCTATCTGGTAGACCTCGCTTTTATCACGCACTCCATTACCAATCGGGAGCACAGTACGAGCATCTTTCGAGATGGTTGGATTCAGATCGAAAGCCGCATTGAGATTTACACTCAAAAGCTAGATCAATGGGTATCTGGCTTACACGCTTCCTTGGCTTTTGAAGACAAGCATGGTAATCAACACCCCAGGAGCAGATCATATTATCAGGTCTCGTTAGCATTGCACTATTACAGCGCTCGTGTTGTCCTCAATCGGCATTGTCTTACACGCCCAGAAACCGCTGGAAAGAGCGGCATCAATCTTCCACGATCCCAGTTTTACGACAAAACCTCTTCGGCCTTTCTTCGTGCATCTTTGGCGCTCATCGCTGTTCTACCAGATCAACCAGATACGGTTTGGGCCTACAATGTCGCCCCATGGTGGGGGTTCCTGCATTTTCTAATGCAAGCCACTATAGCCTGCCTTATACATTTTTCGGTTCTCTCAGTGCCAGCGAGTGTCGAGACTGAGGAAGGCGCTCCCGGGTCTGTGGAAACGCCTGAAGTTGTTCTTGCTGCGACGAAAAAAGCGCTCCACTGGCTGTATTGCCTTGGGAAATCTGATGAGGCCGCTCGTCGAGCTTTTCTGCTTTGCAACAATTGCATTCGCCGTATAGCCTCTAGCAAAGGCCTGGATTTGAGTGGTATGCCCTCCACGATTGATTTATCCGAGACGTCCAGCGTTGCCCAATCTACGGAGTCGGATATACCAAGAGAGATAAGCAACTCGAGGTTGCAACAAGATCAGGGTAGCGAATCAATGGCCTCTCAGGGAGTTCTTGACGATGAAGGAAAGGAAGATACACTGTTTCAAGAGTCCGAAGAGCCACGAAAATCTCGAGACATCGTACGGAGCCCTTCCGCCGTGCTTGACACTGATATCGCCATGTCAGAGTGGATTTCGGACCCGACCGACGCAAATTTTGAAGAGTTATTATTAGTGATGATCGGGCCCAACGTATAGTTGCGCTCTCCCATGGAATGTGGGCTATAATGAGTAACTTGTTCAACTGGGTAAATTTGGCATGTTGTTATTCGCACCATACAGATCACATGATACCCATATTAGATAACCAATCTAATTTATTACATAATCAGTGTCGGGCACCGCAAAATAGGTACGCATATGACGTCATATACGTGGAAGCACATGTTAAATTCAACAAAAGGACCAAATTTGTTGGGCCGTATCTGATTTCAACTCTTATACCATAGATGTCGTTCTCTACATCGCTCTGCTTTTCTCTAATGTCACCTCATATTATGTAGGCACGTCATCAACAACATGATTGGAACATCTACTGCCGAGTACTTGTTCATTCGGCTTTGCATCCTATTTCTTCACAACATCGCACCAATCAGTATTTTATACAGCGTTCAATTACTCGTCGCTCAATTCTTTCATCTACCAACTTATTTCGAACGCATACCCTTGGCTATCCAAATTTGGCTCATTGCAGAAGCCGTCTTTTTCACATTTGTCTACATACCACTTACATACGCCCTTCGCAATTCTCCTATCTACCACAAACCTTTGTCCACAGAGCTCAGAGAACATCTGTTTCGGAGCTGCAATAAGAATGTGCCCAATGTGGAGAAATACCTCAGCCAATGGCTTATGGTCTCAGAAGCTGAATGCATAAAGCGCGATAATGTGAAAGACTTTATCAGATGGTCATTATTCGGACCTGACCATATTCTCGAGCAAGACCAGCAGCATGAAGAGGAAATCGAGACCTACACAGTAGAAATTGAGAAGCTGATTGGACGAAAATTGTCACCGGGCAGGATGGATGTGAAAGGCCTAGGACGGCTTTTGAATGAAGCAGGGGGTTCACATCGAAGTCTGCTATGGTACAGTGTTAGTACTCGCTTCCTCCTCTCTATGTGTGGTATAGCCATTTTGAACTGACATTCCAATTAACTTAGTGCATTTCCGTGGTTGATACCATAACGTACTGCAGGATGTTATACAATGGATTCCACTTCTATCGCAATTCGTTCTCGCGATTCTTTACCGTCTTTCCATTTCGCCCTGTCACAATATTCACGTCTTACCGATCACCGGTGCGGCATCTCACATACTGGCATCGACGACATACATCCAAGACACAGCTACCCGTACTATTCATACATGGTATCGGGATTGGCATGTACCCTTACGCAGGCTTCCTGCGAGAGTTAAACGAGCAACTACAGGCAGACGCCACCGACGATGGTGAGATCGGCATCATCGCACTTGAAATCATGGCAGTAAGCTCTCGGATAACCAATCCTGCTCTCGAAAAGGAGGTGATGATTTCTGAGATCATGGAAATCATGCGGTATCACGGATGGGACAAGATCGTGCTTGTGTCTCATTCTTATGGTTCCGTAATCGCTACACACCTTCTCAAGTCTGATCGGTTCGCTCCGCTCATCGGGCCTGCGGTCTTCATTGATCCGGTGTCATTCCTTCTCCATCTGCCTGACGTGGCATACAACTTCATAGCCCGCCAACCAGCGCGGGCCAATGAATATCAGCTATGGTATTTCGGAAGTCAAGACATTGGAGTTGCGCATACGTTAGCAAGGAGATTCTCTTGGGTTGACAATATTATTTGGAAGGAGGAGCTCGGGGTGAAGGTGGAAAAAGATCAAAAGGGTAGAAATGTTACAGTTGTTTTGAGTGGTAAAGATTTGATTGTGGACACCGAAACCGTGGGGCAGTACTTGATGGGTTCATCAGAGGTCTGGACAGTTGACAAGGAAGCAGCACAAGCATGGAAAATCAGGCCCTGGATTGGGTGCGGACTTGAGACGCTGTGGTTTGAAGACTTGGATCATGCTCAGGTTTTTGATTCTGAGACTACCAGGCGGCCGGTCATCAAGGCGATCTCTGTATACTCAAAGACCGACTGACACTGTTCTGTTCGTGTGTCATGTCAGTCCATGATTACGACATTTTCACGAAGTTTCTTGTGATACACCGGTTTAAGATGCGAATATGCCCAATACTACCTCTTAGTTCAAGAACAATAGATAAGTATACTTGTCCCTGTCGTATATCAAGGGACCTAACTACAAATTAGGTAGCGAAATTGATAAGGTACAGGATTCCATCATGTTGGTACTCATGCGATTGACTAGGGGTTTAGATAATGCAAGTATTCAGACAGACGTTGCTAATGTATCCGAGGTATATAGCTTATACTTTTCTTTTGCTATGCGGAATTGAGATGTTGAGTCGAATACACATTATCATTGAATAAAAAACATAAAAAACATAAACAACTGGATACTCCAGGTCCTTTTTTCCAACTCAAGATCACCCCAACTCAACCTTTCCCTCCGTCCCAGCACCCCAAGCCAAAAACCCACTCGCATTGAACGCCCTCCTGCTCTCCACAACACTCTTCAAGTACTCAAAATCCCAACACCGTCTCGCAAACCCGCCCCCCAAAAACCCATGCTCCTTATCCACTGCCGGCTCAAGCGTACTATCCGCTGAACAGGTAATAGCCTGGGCAAGGTAATCAAAGCAGTGCGCTACATGGACAGAGCGGTTCCGGCCGAAGTCGAAGCGTTGTAGCTCGGGTGTGGTGGTGTAATAGGCTCGCCGGAGGAGGTAGAGGCAGTGGAGTTGGTGGAAGGCGGAAGGAATTACCACAGAAGAGGACTTTGACCTCGAGGTATCTGCGGTTGAGGGGATGAAGTAGCCCAGGCCGTCTGCGGATTCTGTTATTACTATATCTTATAGTAGGTGATGAGATGAGGTGATTGAAAGAGAAATAAGAACCTACTGGGTATTAAAGTATCCCATGTCGGCTCCGAGACGTTCCCTTCAAGCGGTGGTTCCTTTGAGAAGGGGGATTGATACGTGAATTCACCTGCTATTTGGCGGAGGGGCAGGTGAGGTGCTATAGATATGTTTTCTGGAGTCCCGGATTCATAGCTGTGCGTCGTTGTTGCATTGGAGATGTATATGGTGAATAATACTCCGGTTATGAATGCCGTGATAAAAGAGAAGACGAAGAATATGATGTGTGCGACTGTAAGTTGTCTGTTTAGTGGTTTTCTGAGATGAGGTTGAGGCTCCTCTTCTCCGTCTAAGTCTTCCTTCGCGTTTGAGAGGGGCTTATACTCTTGTGCTTTTGCAGTCAACATGGTTGTACGATGAACTAGGAGCATGTAAAAAAAAGGTGAATTCACAGCTTGAGGACGCTAAAGTCGAAGGAAACATTAGTACCTGAACGAACCCCTGTGCGCTTATGACGCATACAGCAATGCATGGTCCCCTTTAGTAATAAAATCAAAAAGCCGCATCATTATGGTATGTAAAGTTAAGTTACTTGAGCCAGAAACTATACGTACAATCAAAAAGTCGTGAATGTATTCTAAACTGCCCAGAGAGACTAAGAGACTACGTACAACATATCACCAAAAGGCATGAAGCTAAAAGTAAAACGCTATGTGGGCTACCGTTGTTGATATATCAAGTTCTATCTATCACATTCTCTATGCTTTTTCGGATCACCGACTCGTTTGTGAATCAGTTACGTTATTCGATGGTGGCCTGCATATCTAGCCCAGTTTGAAATAGGATGGTACAGAGTAATGCTGTAAGATATCGCGCGTAATACTTGACCCAATATCAAATACAGTGTTGATCTACGTATCTCTTAGCATTCTAGTACTTTTGATCACCTTTGCAATGATATAAGAGCTGAGGGGGTGTAAGCATACTTTACATACCTTTTGAGTGTATGACTACTATTTTGCTGCTGACCTGCAGGTAAGAGAGGGGTTGGATGCACGTATCCTGCAATGTCAGCTCGAGCGAGGACGCATGCCAATGCATATGCACCTGTTAGTCTATTTGGAGGTGGCTTGCCGGTAATACCAGTACCAATAACCAGCATTAATCGATTACCAGCATATAGAATATTGTATGCGTTTGTAAGAGATACTATATTTATTACCTGTGGCTTATGTATGAAAGTTGGGTTCTCGCCCGAGTTGGCATGGCAGGGTAGACGCCCTAGACTGGACGATCAGCATTCATCCAGGTTGGACTTGGAAGTATGTGGTACTATTCATTCATAGTAAACAAATTGTTATATTAATAGTATCCCTTTCCTCTTGTTGAATAAGCATCTCACAGCGCCAGCTTTCCAACTTCCATCAACATCATCTTTGACATCTCTATCCTCCACTTTACAACAACAAAAGAGAGCTCAGCCACTCATAATGCATGTATACCTCCTCGTCATTGCCTTCCTAGGCGCCATGGCATTGGGTGCACCCGCACCCACTGAGAGTAAGTATCACAAGCAGAGACACCCTACTGTTGGACTAGGCTGACACATGCTATCAAGCCGCTGCGGTTGTCAGACCCGTCAAGGTTGCCAAAGAGGACAATAGAGATAGCAAGACAGATAGCAACGGGAAGAATGTGTTTTTCGCAGATGGGTTCTAGAGGGGGTTTCTCTGGAAAAGCCAGAAGTTGTATCTTCAAACTATACTTGGGATTCGCAAGATGTCGTTCTCGATCGTTAGTTTATTATGGGGCCAATCCTAGTCCTAGGTCTACATACAAGAGATCTTCTCTCTTCTCTCAAACACAACCGTACTACTTCTATACCTCCCCAGCCAGCCCTGTCGCAATCGACTCTTCAGGTAACCCGACCAAGATCTCCTCCTCGGGTACATACCCCTCATCAACCACGTAGCCACTCCCCTCTGGACAATGCATAAACCTTTTCAACCCAGTCTCATCCTCCGGCTTCTCAGGCCGTCTATAACAAGACGTATGAGCTTTCGCCCAATTTTCCAACTCCCCCCAGTTCCGACAAACCCGATTCTGCCCAACTCCACTAACAACCTCGACCCTTCTCTCCGTAGCCCGAGGTGTATCATCCGCATCACATATAATCTGTCGCCTCAGCGCATCAAGACAATGCGCGATATGGTGCCAGGTTCTCGTCTGTGTCTGGCCTTCCCGAAACTCGAAAAGGCTGATATAGATGATCTTAAGACAGTGCAGATTGTGGAAGCCATGGAGGATGTAGATTCCTTTGCTGGTGTCCCAGGGAAAGCGCTGCGCTGTGCGGAGGTTGTGGGATGTAGCGAAGGAGTCTGGGAGGGCAACAACGCCGCTGTCGATGTTTATGGAGTGCCATAGGGTATCCGCAAGGGTGGTATTTGGGGAGGAGTAATCGGTTAGGAGGACGTAGGGCTCTGTGTGAGTGAGGTGGAGGTCGGCGTATTTTGAATGAGTTCTATAGGGTTCGGGGTTTGCGGCGATGATGGAGATGGTGATTATATTGGTGATAAGAGATAGAAGCAGTATAGGAATTAGGAAGAGGAATCGCTGCCTGTAGGGGTTCGAGTTTCCAGGGCCATCTGCAGAGATGTTTGGATCCTGGCTCGTCTTGTCAATATTGTTGAGAAGACCGGCGAATTCTTCCCTATTCTCAGATGGTGTCGTCCTCATGGTAGGCAGATAGACTCTTCCATAATTTTTTACTTGAATCGGAGGGTCATAAGACTAGAGTCGGATTGACATAATTTCTCACACCGAAATTCTGTAGTCCAACCAAGTCAAACGATGTACACCCCTGCATTCATCACGCCCGCCTGCAGCGGTTACTCGAAAATCTTGCCTTAACATATTCCAAATCAAACCACCTGGATTTTCGCCCCTCTAGGAGTCAGACACTTAGCTGCAAGTCACCTAGTCGAGTAAGAATAGCGAGCTACTAGTGGTCATGCATGCATCCCTGGTATTCGTACGACCTGCGGCTATCCCTTAGCTGGCCAGTGATCGTTTTAATTATCAACTCGGTTGCCTTCACTAACCAGACTTATTCATCTTTAATATTGAGATGTATTCCGATATTAGCATCTACTATACTATACAAAAATTCCAGCCCAAGCGCATTTTGATGCAAGACGTTTAGCGATGGAATACCACCGCGCCCTCCTCCACGTCAACGACCGCACAGGGTTAATAGTTATGACATCGATATTTTTCCTGACAGGGATATTCGCGGTATCACTCCGCTTCTACTCCAGACGACTCTCAAAAGTCCCACTAGGACTTGATGACTGGTTTGCTTTGTCTTCTCTTGTGGGTCCATCTCGAACCCCAAAGACTTACAGCGACGGTATACTGATATAGAGATGAGCAGTTCTTCGTCCTCGCCTTAAACGGAATCTTCCTCTCAGGCGTAATACAAGGTGCAATAACCGGTCACTCTATAGTTCTCAATAACTGGCCCCAGCCCAGCGCGCTCGAAGTCCTAGTCCAGAAATACAAATATGCTTTCCAGACAACAGAGAAGATCGCCTTTGGGCTGATAAAAACTTCCATTTTACTGCTATGGAAGCGGATGCTAAGTCCCATTCGCTCTTTCCAGCTGTTGTGCTGGGTTATGATTGGGATTGTTGCTGCTTGGAGTATATCTTTCTTCTTCGCGACCTTGTTTCAATGCGGAACGCACTGGGACTGGAATTGGGCGCCGATCGGGTTTTTTCTAACAGAGTGTACGGATACGCTGAATATGCTGACTGTTTTTTGTGGGACGGATGTCCTGACGGATTTTGTGATCATGTTGATGCCTGTGCCGATCATTTGGAAGTTGAAGATGTCGGTCAAGAAGAAGATTGGGGTCACGAGTGTGTTTATGGTTGGTATATTGTATGTTCTTTCTCATCTCATCCAGTAGAGAGTTAGCGTGAGATTCCAGATGCTAACTTTCGTTCTCACAGCACGATCGGCGCAGGAGTTGCGAGGACATATATCTATCTCGTGACATCCTATGATAAAGAGGATAACCTTGATTTCATTGCCGACTTCACGCTGTTTATCCTGTGGTCGGAAATCGAGGTCAATGTGGCTATGATTGTTTGCTGCATGCCAGTCTTTGGACCTGTTCTTGGTCAATGTCGTGACACTCTGTACCGCCGTTTTGGTCGGTCAAAGGATGGCGAGTTCGGTCTCCTTGGGCCTTCGACATCGGAATCGACAAATGACGGCAAGACACGCCTCGCCAGTTTCAGCGCTTCGAACAGATCCTATCCACATTATGAGTAGGGTTGCTGCGAAGCAAAACTCGATGTCTCTGGTGGATAATGTTCGAACATAAAGTTATGCTAGCGTTATACTAGCTAAAGCCAGGAGGATTCAATATTAAAGGGAGATCTACGTCCGGAATAATACTGTATCTCCTATTACTATGTTGTACATAGTCCATGGGTCTTTTTGGATTTTAGTTTAATGATTATTATGCACGTTTTTGTTAATTTCCTGACTAAAGAGTAAGACCGGCTGAAATAGAAGAAGCAGGCAACCAACTATGTAGCTTCGAACCCTTCCGGCTGATCGGCAGAATATCACAGTAGCTATCCGACAACAAACCGCTTCAGGTATATGCTCTGTAGGAAAGAAGGGAATGTATAATTGACTCAGTCTGGTGCAGCTCCGTAGCAAATAAAGCAAGCGAAGTGGCAATAAAAAAAAGTAAACATCATCCTTACCAGATAGCCCCCAACGGCACCTCACCGACTCTTTAAATTTCCTTCTCACATTCTTCCTCATCCATCATCAGGCTTTTAAGGGGCTCAGACCTCGCATAATCGAAAAAATCATTTCAGCAGTCATGGCTAACCGCTTGTTTGCATCCGTGGTAGCCGTTATTCTGGCAATCAGCGCAATCTACTACCAGGAACTTTTGGATACGATTTATCCAAGTGACAAAATAAAAGTGGTGGACACCACGCGAGATATCACTTACCTTGGCAGTCTATCCCCTGCTGGAATTGAACATTTCCAAAACATTTTCTATGCAGAGGAACCCACGGGACTGCGACGTTTCGCAGCGCCGGTTCCAACGAGACCAGTGAAAGGGTCTATCATCGACGCCACCCAGGCTGGTGCCTGGTGTCCACAAGGAACGGGAGATATACTCCCGTTCACGAGTAGTGTGACCAACATCAGCGAAAATTGTCTGAGCTTGAGAATTGCGAGACCGGCAGGAACGCAGAAAGATGCTAAGTTTCCAGTTGCGCTTTGGATTCATGGAGGTGAGTTTACTGTTTGTGAAGACATGAGCGCTGAAGACACTAATGAGTAGACAGGTGGCCATGCTTTAGGCTCAGCTTCCGATATCCTTTACGAGCCTGATGGCTTGGTAAAGCTGGCTGCTGCTGATGGGCTCCCGCTGGTATATGTTGGCATAAATTATCGCCTGGGCTGTAAGTTATATATCAAGAGTCTTTGAAACTCTGTGCCGAGGCTTACTTCCGGTTTAGTATTTGGCTTCGCAACTAGTCGAGCATTGATTGAGAGGAAAGACACAAATGCAGGGCTTCGGGATCAGCGCGCTGCTTTGGAGTGTATGTATCTCGGTGCTCTTTGATCGCGAAATGATCACGAATGCTGAGAAACCGAACAATCAGGGGTCCGCAATAACATCGAGTCATTCGGCGGTGACCCTAATAGAGGTATACTCACTTCTATTTCCCGGGTTCAAGCACCAATATACTAATAGATTTTCTTCTAGTGACCGTCATTGGACAAAGCGTCGGGGCTAGTGACATCGGTCTGCAGCTAACGGCCTTTGGAGGTGATCAAGATGTTCCATTTCAGCAAGCAGTGTAAGTGAGTCGAGCCTTGAAACTGTTTCAATGCTGATTCGCGGCCTTAGAATGATGTCTGGAGGTCCGGGACTGAACTTCAACAGCCAACCAGACCTAGTTGCAAGCAACACGGCTGCTGTTGCACAGCAAGTAGGATGTGCTAGTGACAACGATTTGCAGACACTCGAATGTCTTCGAGGGGTTCCCTTTGAACAACTAACCAACCTATCGGTTACTGCATCTCGGGCAGCCCGTCCGCCTTTCGGTGAAGCTTATTTTTACCCAACGATCGACAATGACTTCATTCAAGATAGACCCTCGCAGTTGATACGTGCAGGAAAGTTCACCAAGGGAATACCCCTGATAGCTTCCTGGGTCACAAATGATGGCGCTTGGTATGCGCCGCCGACAACTGCGACGGACGACGAAGTCCTAGGGAGTTTTGGACTATGGCTGCACAAACTTTCAACATCCACGAAAGAGAAACTCCTACAGCTGTATCCTCTAGAGGACTTCAAGCACATGATCAAGTCAGAGCATGAAGGTCAAATTTCACCGCAGTACTATCGCGCTGCACAGCTGAACCGCGACATCTGGTTCACTTGCCCTGTCCTTGACTTTACATGGCAGTACGTCAAAAATGGGGGTGTGGCAGCCTCCCAAGTGCGGCTGTACGAATTCAACGAAACCAGATACGCGCCAGTCTTTGATTCCATGGGTGTGTCAATGTGGGGTGTCGCTCATCTCAGCGATATCCCTTACCTATTCTACAATGACGACCTACGGGCCGGTGCAGATAACTCGGACCCACAGCTTGCGTTGGCTCGGGATTTTAGCCGGAAGATTATTCGGTTTGTGCATGGCAGTTCTAAAGAGGCGGACGATGAACTTCAGTCCTGGCCGCCTGCTTTCTCGGATGACTTTTCAAAAGGTTCATTAAGCGATATGCCTAGTCATATCTCATTGCAGCTGTTTGGTGGCCCTCATGGATCAGTGCCTACTACATGTAGCGAAGACATTGGGGCTGATATTGAGGCCCTTACCGACGCAGAGAAAGCGCTTCATTGGGAAAAGTTGTTCAGTCGCTGTGCATTTCTCAATGGGCAGCAATTTAGAGAGGAAGCCGGGGTGTGATGAAAACATGTTATTTGGGGTGCAGACTGCCAACTTACTCGCGCAGCCCCCGCTACTTAGGGAGAATATTTAGGAGTCATTTTGATTTGAAGCTATCAAAATCACGTCGAATTCCTTCCATGGTGCTTGATGAACACACGATTAAATACCATGCCCTGGTCGGTCATAAAGAAGCCACCAAGGGTACCGTCCCGTATATACCCACTCAAGGTCCACAGCCCCGACAATTGTAAGGTCTTTCTCGCTTTTTATCAGCTCTTCTATGCCAGCGAGCGGATAGGCTCAGAATAAACAGTCGTTGGCGTTGGCAGACCTCCAATTCGGTCAAAACTGATCTCAGAATCACCGCTAACCTGCCATATTCGTACAGGAGATGGACCACGACGCGGATTCTGCATATCTTCAAAATCTTGCATTAAAGATATTATACCGTCCGAGTTAATCACTCTTTCAATTTATCGTAGACTGCTTTCTCATTCCAAAATTATTCCTCCCAATTATTCTTTTGCTGCTTGACAATGAGTGATGTGACGGTCTAGGGAATTGAGTGTCGATATGAGCCCGGGTCAAGTGTGAAGCGATAAACTGTACGGCGTTCATCTCAAAGCTGCACATTGGTTGCATAAATTGGATGATTATTCAAGTAGATTATCTGAGGCGATGAGCTTAATCAAGACTTCTCTTAAAGTATGTTTACCTATTACTGGCTGTCGACACTTTTCTCTCTTGAGTCTTCGAAGGGGTATTTGCTAGGTGGATAGTTAAGGAAATCTATATATGGTGTAGTGGGGGACCTTGTCTTCCACTACGTATTGACCTTGCCTGTCCTCTCTTTATTAAGTGGCTTCATTACGTAACCCTGGAGTGATGGAGGATATATGTAGAAGATAGAGACAGATTGAATGTACACACCTCTACACCTCTCTGAGTTGACTTCTTGGGCAGCGGGCCTGGGTTCCTTTGTATGCACAGTCGGGTATGAAACTGAACTGCGAGTGCTGAATCGACCTGTATGCCTTAGAGTATACAGCCTTGAGCGTTCCCCTCTTTAATGGCTAAACAAAATAATAAAAGTATCTTCCTCGACCAGGCTGCGATTAATGAGAGGAACTAGATGGTCGTAAGTGTCGTCCGTTGCCCGTACACTCGTTGCACTTAAATACATTATGCATTGAAGGAAAGGCTCTTATGGATCTATGAACCCAAGTTATCTATTTAAAATGATAGTAATGTTTCCTTCGACTGGTTTATCCCTATATTCCCCTTGAATCTCTCCAAGAGCAGATAGTTCCCGTTGCAGTTTTTCCGGAAGCCATATTTTCGATAGTTGAACAGACTGGATTTACAAATGCGCGTTCAAAACCCTTTGGATATCCGCATATGTGACCCAACAGCGTCGAAGTTCAAAATGACGGAGAACAGGAAGGTGGATGTTCGACAGGAAATCAATCAAAACGGGACTGTCATCTAGACACAGTGTTTCGATATTTCGTAGTGCCTCTGCCATTCTGTCTCGGAGACTACGATGACAGACCCTTATCTGAGCGTAGAACACAGATATCTGGAAACATCTAATCACAATACCGTTCTCTTTGGCCACAACCATAGCGTCGATGATTGTTTCGAGGTGTGTCAGAAATGAGTAGTCCAATCATCAAAGACTCGAGGTGCGAACCAGAGAAATGTGACCCAAGGGGACTTAGCAGGCAGCATACATTGCTCCTGTCCAGTCTACAGTCCCCTACGCACCCAGGATGGGTGCTCTACGCACCATGACAGGTACCATACTTCAGGCATCAGCGGGGTCGTGACAGTTAATAAAGGTGTGGTATTCCTAGGTTTTATTCCTATAGAAAGGTTTAACGTTTGTAGGCTCTCGCGGTATATAAATATAATATTTTTCTATTACTTATAGTGACGGAAAAATGGTGGTAAGGCGAATGTATATGTGGCAGAAAAATCTCAATAAAATCTCTAACTCTCTAAAATGACAAATGTCCAGGAAAAATGACAATCTTGTGAACAACTTAGTAATCAAAGACAAACAAAACAAAATGAAAGGATGTTTTCGGCCGAAAACCGTGGACTTGGTTTTTCGGCGGAAAAAACAAATGCGCCTGTCACGTGATCCATCCGTAACAAGGATGAAACATTACAGTATCCAGCACAGATTCCGACAGAGAGGAATCTATTGTCCTCTTGCTATGCTTCATGATATTGTTGCATATGCAAGGTTTTAGACGACCAAAGCCCCCATTTCTGCGAGTCTTCTAGGGTCTGGCCCTTCCCCCGGTTGGTACGTAGTAGAGGACCCAACACCGTCTTGGTTGAAACTCAAGCCGCTGGTCCCCGGAAGTTGGGTAGTTGCAAGGCCTGCCGGATTGCACATCTCCATCCGCAGCTGCATGATCCATCGTTTGAGTGATATATTCGCTCTCCCAGCATCGAAATAGAAATCTATCAAGGATGACTGACCCCTGGTAGGATCGGAACAGATCTCTGGCCAGTTGATCGAACGCCGCGCATTTGAATCCGGCTGTGCATCCGGCTGCCCGCGTTCTATATATAGGTCATCTTGCAAAATGATCTCTCTTCCACGGTAACCAAGACTAGACAATTGGACAAACTGCAGCTTGGGGCTATCTGCCAACAATTCGAAGCTTCGCTTCCAGAGTTCCTGGATCTTATTGATAACTTCGAGAGATAGCGAAGAACCCCAACTACTCCTCTCTTCTGTGAGGGGGCCTGGATCTTGTGCTCCGATTATCGCATCTGTCAAGCTGACATTCTTCATACTCAGTCGCCTTAAGGTTGGCGCTGCTGTCTGAAGAAAGCGCTTGAGATTCCCCACTGTCAGCTCAATGGAATGAAGATGAAGTTCTTCTAGCTGGGAAAACCGGATATTCTGGGAGAGATCCTGAAAATAGAGAGGAGACAATTCTTCCAAGGGACTCCATTGAGCGAAGGTCAGAACCTTTAATTTGGGTGCGACTGTGACCAGTATACTAAGAAGATGTTTGAAGGCGTCTTCATCGAATGTATCGTTTTCGTTATCTTTAATACGAATGCACATATGTAGAGTCGTAAGATCGGTCAAGAGCGATAGCAGTGATTGATACTGTGACTCTGACAGTTTTATAGACCCCAACTTCATGCCACATGCGATATTGCCGCACGTATGGAGGGCGCGGACCTTGTGGCTAGATTTGATTATAGCCTTGACCATTTGTGAAAATGCTAAGGCCAGAGGCATAGATAACATCTTCCGCTGGAAACTTGTAAATGTTAAATGAACACTTATATCATCGTTGTTGAACTGGTTCTTCAGTTCACGTAAGCCAAGGCAGCGAAATGAACGATAGTTTGCTTCCAGGAGAAATTCAATGGGGTAACACCGTAAGCCGACTGTGGTGGCGTTTTCGAGGCGCGGTAGGCATTTTTCAAGAACCGCAGTAAGTTCCGAGTCGAGAATAGCACGATGTTCTTCTAGTGCAGCTTGATAAGAGGTGAATAGAGCGTCAAGCTCAGCCTTAGCCTCAGTTTTATTGAATGGTGGTTCTTCCTTTTCACCGCGCATTATTCTGAAGATGCTTCTCTGTTGCCGGAGCGCCAATCCCGGACTTCTGAAACGTTCCTTATTCTTTTCTGGCCACCCCTCGAACAAGTTTGGGATGATCCGAATTTCTCGAACCGAGCCTCGTAAGGTTTCACTTTCTGCAATATCCTCCAGATTGTCAAGGCTTTCACGGGTGAGAAGAAGTGATAAAATTTTGAAGTAGCGCGTTGCATAGGCTTCCAGTGTACTGCCATGTATTTGGTGGCAAGTGATTCTGAGCGCACCCCACTCCTGAGGCTCCAGATATTCACAAATATGAGACAATATCTCTGGAGGCAGGATTGTGATAGACATTTTGTATGAATAGTCACGTGAATGGTTAGGGATGGGGTTGGAAAGTGGAAGAGATAATTAGAGGAGGTGGCGGCGTTTGCAGATTTGAAGGTAGCGGGAGGGTAGCGGCGGGTAGGTAGAAGGTAGCAGCCCTAATCTTAGGCCCCGTGGTAGACTTCTATTCATAAATTTTTGGAAATGAAGCTAAACGAGACATGAGAGCACTTAATGTATCTATCTGACGCTATTACTATCTAGGGGCAGAGATCACCCGACCCAATGGTAACGATGAGATATAAGCCATCTTACCATCCCACCCACGGCTAGTCTATTGTTCTGAGCTATCTATAGCCCTCTATCGCACTTAGGCTGATACATACGACCATAGGGTGTGGAAAACAGGGCTTCCCGTCCGCTCAGCCGTACTTAAGCCACACGCCGGTGAGTTAGTAGTTGGGTGGGTGACCACCAGCGAATCCTCGCTGTTGTATGTTTTTGTTTTTATTAGTTCAGTAAAGCAATAATAGCATGTTCATCCTAGGCCCCATTGTGGAAGTCTATAATAAGTTTTTGGAAATTAAGCTCAACGAGACACAAGCAATTGACGTGCATATCTAACGCTATGACCATCTAGGCGTAGAGGTCACATGACCTAGTGGTAACGATGAGATATAAACTATCTTGTCCCAGCTGTAGTCTATAATTCTCAGCTACTTTATGTTCCCCTCTAGCGCCGCATCAAATACATACGACCATAGGGTGTGGAAAATAGGGCTTCCCGTCCGCTCAGCCGTACTCAAGCCACACGCCGGTGAGTTAGTAGTTGGGTGGGTGACCACCAGCGAATCCTCACTGTTGTATGTTTTTTATTTTTATTTTTAATATTCGTTCGGAAGCCAAACGCTTTGCTTCACCGGCTCTTCACGCCGATCAAATCAACACAAGGCGCTCTGGACTATCCTAGACAATGCGTGTGACGGAAGGTCATCATTGTTCTTGCGAGCTGGTCATCATTGTCACGATTGGCACTTGCGGAACTCGTTCCTTCCCGTCCGAGAGAACACGTTTGCACAAGCAGTCGTACCTTCCTTCCAGAATAAGCGAGGATAGG